TTCGTTGCAAGATATTTTTACCTTGGGATGAAGAGAGAAATCTGATTGCACAAGAAGTGTAGATGAAATAATAATAATAATAAAGATCACAATGCACTACATTTTATGCTATAGTAGCTGATAATGGCAATGTTCGTACAAAAATACTTGAAAGATCAAAAGTTTGACAACAAGTATTAGTGGTAATAAAGTTATGATATTAGAAAGATAAAAGTTTATTTTTTAAGATAGGATGACTCTAGCTAGCCATATTCGAATATTTGTAATAGTTACGAATACACATAATAATCACAAATACTCTTATATACTCGAATACTTTATTATTACGAATACCCTTATTTATTAATTAGATTTTGTGCACATCCTACGCGTAAAATTTTTAATATACACCTGGCTACCATTAGTTGGAAAAGTAATTTCTACATTATCATCATCTATAACTTTGGTGATCACACCTATCGTTCCATTGCAGATGTCGTGTTCAAACAGCTTACCAACGAACTCACGCTTTAATACTTAATAGTAACTTCTCGCTGTCATATAACATTATCTGTATCAAAAAAATTATCAATCATAAATTTTAGCCATAATTTAAAAGATATCGTTTATTGTTTTAAAAAATAGATTCTGTTTGATAATATTCAATCAACAATCAACATATTTTTTTTATTCGACTATATAATGAACCTTTTTTCGAATGAAAAAAAATTTTTTGAGGGAGCGAAGTTCATTGCAATTGCAAAGAACTCTTATTATTATATTTGCCGTACGACCAAACAGAACTTGACACAAAAAGAAATTAATTTGCAAAATTGACAAAAATTACGGAATTTAGAAAAAGACAGAAGTAACACGGCAAATTTTCTTGTTAAAAAAATATTTGCTATTTCTCTAGCAGTTGGACGTTTATCTGTATCATCATCCATACATCGGTAGGGGTATTAATCGAGAAGTCAGGTCTTACTCCTTCAGATATTTTGAATGCAAGACCTGTATCATGTGAAACATTACTAAAAGATTGATGAATCAGAAACGCCGATCAATTTATTATAAAACACGGAGGAAATTTCATATTAAATGATCAACAAAAAAATATTAATATAGGATTAACAGCCAAAGAGGCACCTGCCAAGAAACATGATCAGGATATAATGTGAAATCTAAAGAAAATATTGTTTAGCAAGGAATTGTTTAATGCTGGTGAAAGATAGTTTTGAGAGTAAAGCATAAATATACATTTGCAGAAATTATTGTTAGAAATTGTATTATTGTATTAACAGTATTGTCATAAATAAAAATATTAAATTTCAGACACAATCTCATAATATGAATTTGATATCTGGAATGTTTGTGCCTATAAATTATCATTTTACTATCAAGAATTGGTAAAGAATTGGGTCTCACCATCAATTTTTAATTACTAAAATGCCTGTTGGTTTTTGTTCCATTTGCAATATAGAAAAAGAAAGGCTCAACTAATGGGGAATTATGAGTTAAATATAAGTGAAAGATGTTCTAAATGCTATAATTCTTGTATTGCATATGATAGATATAATATAGAATAAGAAAACCAATTCAAATACTAAATTTAGTTACAAATCAAATTAAAAGTAGAATTAGAAAAGATTATTAGACCATCAAGTCAACACATTAAACGTGATTAAATATTAATTTTATTACTATTATTTGTTTTATACAAGTGTCAACATCATGAAAAAATGGAATTATTAATGATCCTGATGAATTCATAAAAATAGTTGAAGAAAAAGATCCTTCATTAAAAGGCCTTTTTGATATGCTGTATCAAAGTATGAACCTTTTTTCAAAAATTGCTCTACAGAAATAAGTCTAAAATGAAAGTGATGATTCTCTGTTACCATCATGTTCAGTCAAAAATCAAATGGCTTTATATATGTCAAATACTGCTACATCTACATCAGAAATCAATACTTTAGCAAACTTGGGTTAAGTCTTTTTAAAAAACGCGTTACAAATCATTTTTACTATGCAACATTTTATGATTTTGTGGAACAAATGAATGTCCACATGCTAATATGCCTCCATATGCAAAACCGCAGCAACATATTTAGGAATTAAAAATTGGCAATTGCGGTTGATTTTTGCATGATTATCATTTATTAATACATAGTGTAGGTCGTAGTACAATTAGTATTAGTACGATCCCTGAAATCTTTATGCGACATATTAATACATAATGTTCACTTGCAGCATACCCCGTAATAATAATAATGTAATGCATTTAAATACATCAAATCCAGTTTTTTTCATACGAAAAAAATAATTTAATTCTTTCAATTTAGGTGGAATTTATAAATTAATAAATAATATTAGCCACTAATTCCTTATTTATACTTTCTTTGTTAATTATATTAAATATCAGGTATATTTTTTACCCTTACCTCGTTCACCCCTTTCTATTATCTTCCAATTTCAATAATTACAATTATCAATTATTTTGTTTTTCAAGTTTTTCAAGTTATTTTTCCTCCTTCTACTTGACATTCTTAACCAAACCAATCAAAATAATATTTACTAAACAATAATTATATATTTACCATTTGCATTATATACCTGATATATCACTAACTATATAACAACGACAACAACAACAAAACATATACACAAAAAAAACACACACTTATATATACTTGAACTTTTATATAACCCGAAATTTATATTTTTTTGCTTTTCAATTCATTCACTTACTTTTCATATAATTTATTTATTTCAAAAAAAAATTATATATAAAAATTTTTCATAAAATATATCGGAGCTGGTACCTCGTATATTTAACTACTAAGCTAAAAAAATAAAGTGTGGAATGTATTTATTAATAAAAAAAAATTATATATATAAATTATTCATATAAAAAAAAAAACCAAAATTGAGGCAGAAAAAACAATTATTTATTCATAAAATTACTTAAAATGTCAACAAGTCCAGAGAAAACTTCAGTACAAGTAGGTTCGTGTAAAAAAATCTTTATTGTCATTTGAAATGGAATTGGTGAACTAGATCTTTTTTTTTTCATTCTACATTTAGTAAAGACTTAAAAATAGAAATTAATTTTTAGAAAGAAATTTCCCAATTTTAGAACTGACCATTAAAATAAATTTATACTTGTTCAAATTCATTTAATTAATTTTCTTTTATTAAATTTAATTAATTACTCTAACTAATCAAAAAACAATCATTGTTACATTTAACTCGTATATATCACATACCTACACACACAATGTGATATATATATTGTAGCTGTACGTATACGTCCAATAACTGAGGAAGATTTAAAAAGTTGTCCAACAAAATATCAACATACAGTTATAACATCTTCACAATTTACACCAAATCAAGTGATAGTGCAAGATGGAGACAAGAAATATCCATATAATTTTGATCATGTGTTTGGACCAGAAGATGCTCAAAAAGATGTTTTTGAGAAATCTGTTTTAAAATTAGTCGAGAAATTCTTGGAAGGTAATAATTATAATGATTATTATTATTTATAAATCATATAAAATCTAATTTATATTTTTATCTCACACATACACCAATTATCTTACAGGTTATAATGTAACCATATTAGCATATGGTCAAACATCATCAGGTAAAACCCATACAATGGGTACAGCTGATAATGCTAACATGCCAGCCGATGCTAAAGGGATAATACCAAGATCAATGGCGACTCTATTTAATTGGATGAATGGTGCTCAATATAAATCAAGAAAATTTTCAATGAAGGTTTCATTTATTGAGATTTATAATGAAGAGTTGATAGATTTATTAGGAGAAGGTGAGATTGAATCTAGGCCTCAAGTACTGATCAGAGAAGATAATAAAGGAAATATCCTTTGGAGTGGTTTGAAGGAATTACAAGTTAATAATGTCGAAGATGTAATGAGGTGATTAATTAATTAAATAATAGAATCATCATAATTTCTTTGCTTGAATGTTTGCTAATATTAAAATTTAAAACATAAATCTAAAAGTCACTTAACACATGGATCAACGCATCGACAAGTTGGTGCAACAGAAATGAATTCAAAATCATCTCGTTCACATGCAATTTTTTCTATAACTTTATCACAACAAAAATTCATACCTTCATCATCCGCATCCACATCTATATTATCACCACCATCGACACCTGCTCCTGGCGATAGACCCATTACCCCTGGCATGAAGCTCCCATCATCCAGAAGTAATTCAAGATTAAATAAAAGAGCTGATGATGGCGAATGGGTTACTGTTACTAGCAAATTTCATTTTGTAGATTTGGCTGGTAGTGAAAGGGTAGGTTTTGATATTATTATTATTATTATTATTATTATTATTATTATTATTATGTAATATAGAATTTATCTGTTTTACTTTATAGTTATAATAAAAATTAACTATAATTGTTATATTGTTCTAATTGTTAGTTAAAACGCACATCAGCAATAAGCGAGAGGGCAAAAGAAGGGATTTCTATAAATTCTGGTTTATTGGCCTTAGGAAACGTTATATCAGCATTAGGTGATACTAATAAAGCCAAACACACAACCCACATACCATATCGTGACTCAAAACTCACCAGGCTTCTACAAGACTCGTTGGGTGGTAATGCTCAAACATTGATGATAGCTTGTGTCTCGCCTACCGCTTTCAATATTCACGAAACTCACAATACCATAAAATATGCTAATCGTGCAAGAAATATTAAAAATACTGTTTCATTAAATCAAGAAGAAACTGGTTGGAATGATATAGAACATTTACAATCTTTAGTAATGAAATTAAGGAATGAAATCAAGGCATTAAGAAATGCCACTTACAGTAGTGGCGCTAATGGAACTACTGCTAATAATAATAATAGCAATAACAATAATCATGGTGATAACAGTGATAATAATCATAATAATAACTATAATAGTCCTACTACTTCTACAATTACAAGTGGTATACCAATGTTAAGTAATGGAAGAACCACACCAATGTTAAGTAATGTATCAGGAAGAACCACACCACTGTTAAGTAATGCATCAGGAAGAACTACGCCACTGTTAAGTAATGTATCAGGGAGAACCACGCCAGTTAATGGCAGGGATACTCCTAGTTATCTAAAAAGGCCTTCAACTCCTTCTTCTTCACTAACATTAAATTCACAAAAAGAAAAAGAAAAAGAAATCGAAACCTTAGAAGATCAATTGATCCAGCTAAAAAAATCCTATGTTGAATTAACACAAAAATATGCAAAAACTTCTGCTGAACTTGCTCAACATCAAGATAATTCTGATGGTATAATATCTGGCGATATCAAGAGTAATGTCAAGAAACCCAATATTGACAAGAATGGTTTGGCAACTATTGAAGAAGAAAAATTAATAAAAAATATTTCTGCAAGTTTTCAAGAAGCCGTTGAGCCAGTAATCGAAGAATATGAAAAATCAATCTCACAACTAGAAAGCCAACTGGCATTAAACAAGGCTGCATTATCACATTCTGAAACATTGATGCAAGAAAATGAATACAAATTATTCCAAACCGAACAAGCTGATCAACAAAATCGCGCTCAAATTATTGAATTGAAAAATAAACTTGCAAGGTTGAATGAGCGTGAATCATCTACCGAAAATTACGTTAAAGATCTGGAGGGGAAATTAGAATCTTGTTCTCAACAACAAAAACTTGATCAAGAAATGATTCAGGACTTGAAATCTAAAATTGCAAAGTTAAAGGATATTATATCAAATAGCGAAATGTATATCGCAGAACTGGAAGACAGATTGGCAAGCAGTGAGGATCATGTTTCTAAATTAACTGAAAATATTGGGAAATTGGAACAACGTTTGATCGAGAGCGAGCAAGAGTATCACGAACTAGAACAAAAATCGTACAATACTGAGAATGATAGAGAGAAGAGATCTTTGCTTGCTGAATTGGATGATAGGGAAGAGAGGATCATTCATCTTGAAAGAAAAGTTGAAGAATTAATTGGCGAGCTTGAAAATTTAAGAAAACAACATTCATTAGATGACGACGATAATCTTAATATTATGCATATTCATGAAAAATCTACGTCATCAACTACATCAGACACAAGCCTATTTTCATCAAACGATAACAGTAATGAAGAGAAAGAGAGATTGAATATGATATTATTGGAAGGGAAATTATCAAAATTACAAAAGGTTCATGATAATACATGTAAAGAATTCGACGATTTGAAAGCAAAATACCAATCTTGTTTACAAGAAATGCAAGAATTAGAAATTCAAATTTTGGATGCTAAGTCAATTCATGACGACAAATCAACTACACCTACAACTCCGACCACACCTGATAGCTCATTATTCAATAACAGTAATTATCGAATGTCTTTACCAGTAAATCTTCGCTCGTCATCTTCTTCCTCTCCCACCTCCACCACGTCTTCTTCTTACTCGACCATCGCCACAAGTGTTTCTTCTATCAATCATATTAACAATAATTTTTACGAATCTAATCATAAAGAACAACCTTTAATTAACAATTTGTTTAATAATTCGAAAAAATCACAAAATCAAAACGCTCATCGTAAATCAAGAACTTTATCAACCGAACTGAAATCCAATGAAAGACGTGATTTAGCTCACATATCAATTGTACAGAAATTACAGGATGACTTGAAGCAATTGTCATCACTGCACGAGGATAAAACCCAAGGTCTGGATGCTGTCAAATCAGAATTTGCAAGATTGGAGATTGAGTATCGCGAAAAACTAGAAATTGTTGAAGAGTTACGAGAAGAGATTAAAAGACGTGATGCGTTGGCTCAGTTGGAAGAAATGTCGGTTACTTCTAATTCCGATTATCGTGATTATATAAATTCTTCAAGTAATCACAATAATAATCATCAACATCATAATCATAATCATCATAATCGCAGCAGTAGTTTGAATGGTAGTGGTAACAATACTAATAATAACAATAGTGAATACAATAGTTATTATAGCGGTGTTTCTACCACTACCGCAAGTGAAATTGATCATTTGGACATTGTTCAACGACTTAAGGAAGAAATTGAACAACTTAAAGAAGAACAAAGAACCACAATGGAAATTATGTCTCAGCGTGAAAAGGCCAATAATGATAGTGGCAATGGCAATGAGGATGAATTTTCTCAAGTTCAGCGACAAAAAGAAATTGATGATACAAAATTAAAATTGGAAGGAAATGGTTCATCTTCAACTAATGCTGCCAACAATGGTAAGGAAACAGACCAAGAAATTATTACATTAAGACAACAAGTTGAAAAACTTCAAATGGAAATAGAAGCAAAAAGTCATACCATATCTGCTTTATTGTTGCCATCTAACGAGCATCAGGATATAATTAGAAGGCTTGAGGATGAATTGCAAGAAGTTAGAGAGGCTCATCGAATTGCAACATTAAAAGAAAAATCTAATAAATTAGCTACAATTTCAGAATCAGCTGAATATGACAATAATAACACTGATAATGGTATTAATGGTAGCAACAGTAATGATGAAGGTAATAATAACAAAAGTAATAATCGTAATGGATCATTATCACCAGAAATTGCTTACTCTTCCGATAAATTAGAACAAAATATTGATGAAAATGTTAAAGAATTAGAAGAGAAAGTTAAGGATCTTGAAGTGCAATTAACGAATGCAAAAGAAGCTCAACATATTCCAACTCCAAGATCTTCCACCTCCGCCTCCTCTTCAGCATCAACTTTATATTCAACTGATTCAACACAAAAAATAATCAGTAACTTGCAAGCAAAATTAGTAGATTTACAAGAAGAATTATTGAGTAAGGCTGATGATAATGATCATAAAGATGATAAAGATAAATCAGAAAATATTAAGACTGAATTGGAATTAGTTTCATCGATGCAACAACAACTAGAAATTTTAAGGGTTGATGTTAAATGTAAATATGAAATAATTGAAAGCACTAAAAGAGAATTGATTGATAAAGGAATATTACAACAAAAATTACGTGGAAAAGAAGCTGAAGCCAAGTCCTTGCAACATCAATTAAGCGGTTTTAAAAATAACGAGAATGAAATGAAACAACAAATTTTACAACTTCAAGAAAAATTAAAATCTTTCAAATCATCATCAAATAATAATAATGAAGTTAATGAGTCATTAGAAAATGAAATAAACGATGTTAAAAAAGAAATGATTAAAGCTAAAGATAATGAAAATTTTACTATTGAAAGATTAAAAGTTTTGGCACTCGAAGAAACTAAACTTCAATCAGAATTGGATCGATTGAAAAAGATCGAGATTGCTCAATGTGAAAGAATCAAAGTTCTTGAATCAAGTTTATCATCATCGCAAGAACAAAATAAGAATCTTTCTGTTGTTGAAAAAGATTTCACAAAATTAAAAGATGAATTATCGTTAGTCAAAGAAAATGAAATTGAACATAAAAAAATAATAGAGAAACTTGAATCCAAATTAAAAGATTCCGAATCTGAAATAAGAGTGTTGCAAGTTCAACTTGACGAATTAAGGAAAGAATCAGATGAAAGAATAAAAACTATTAAGAGTAGCGAATTGAAATTGAGAGAAGAGGAAGCAGCAAAACAATTAATCAAAGAAACAGATAATGATAATGAAATTAAAAAATTAAAGGAGGAAATCGAGTTGCTCAACAAACAAGAGATTGATCAATCTGAAAAAATCAAATCCCTAGAATCACAATTAAAACTTGCCCAAGAAAATCCGGAAATTGCTAATTTGAAAAGCGAACTTGTTAATCATGAAGCCAACGAGTCACTGCTAAAAGATACTATTCAAGACTTGGAAACTAAGCTTTCTGAAGCTCAACAAGATTCTAAAAAATTATCAAGTATTCAAAGTGAACTTAAATTGTTGAGTGAATTAGATGCTGAACAAAAGTCCTCTATTTCACAATTACAAGATCAACTTGTCAACATTCAAAATGAAAAAGATTCTGTTGTCAAAGAGATGGAGTCGATGAAACAAGATTTCGAAGCACAAAAAAATCTTGTCTTCACTCTTGAAAAAGATCTGAACTTGACTAAAACCGAATTAACAAAAGCTAAAGAAGATAATCAATCAAGTTCTAAGAAACACGAGGATTTGTCGGCATTGTTAAGTCAGACAGTTGAAGAACGTGATCAATTGGATAAAAAAACCAAGGATTTAATAATTGAAATTGAAGGTTTGAAAGAGATGAATATAACTGACGATAAAGAAATTTCAAGGCTTAATTCTGAATTATCAGAAGCCAAAGATGAAATGATTCGACAAAATGAGCTTTTATCAGAATTGAATTCAAAACTTACTAATGTTGAAAAAGAACGTGACGAATCGGCCGATCTTATTGATGAATTAGCCAAAGAGATTGAAAGAAAAGAAACTGAAAAAAAAGAAGCTGTTGAAACTTTAGAATCGAATATTTCTAATCTTAAATCTCAACTTGAGGAAGCTAAAAATAGCTCGGTATTAGACCAAGAAACCATTAGTAAGCTTAATGAGAAACTTGATTTACTTCAGTCACAACTTGACGAATCGAAAGAATTAGACAAAAAACGTTCACAAAAAATCAAAGAACTTGAAGATAGAATTCAAGAAACTAACATCAAAGTTCAAGAGAAAGATAATGCAATTAACAATAATGTCGAGTTGATTATGGGATTAGAAGAAAATTTAAAGAAACTTAAATCGCAACTTGAAAATGCAGAAAAATTCAAGTCTGCTGAAGCTCAAGAACTTGAATCCAAGATTTTGGAGTTAGAAGAACAAATAAAGAATAATCCTACGCGTGAAGATCTTGAAGCCGTCAAAGAATCATACGATAAACAGGTTGAACTTACTAAACAACTAGAATCGAAATTGGCTGCTGCTGACATTGAGAATAGTAAAAGTATTTTACAGTTGACAAATGAGTTGGTCTTGGCAAAAGAGACTGAGGAATCATTAAGGAAATCGGTTAAAGAAGTTGAAGATGACTTGAAAATAAAAGAAAATGATTTGGATAGTTTAAATAATAATCTTAAAAAATTAAAGGAAGAACTTAAACAAATGCAGTCCAACGAATCTCAACAGGTTGAACTTATCTCAAGTTTAGAAGTACAACTCGAACAAACTAAAAATCAACGCGACAAAGAAATTGATAAATTCACTGAAGCAAATATTGAGATAGAACAACTTAAAGAGAAATGTGCAGATTTACAAAACGAAATTGATGAAATACAAAAGGAAGCAATGTTACAAAGTCATCAAAGCGTCGATAGTGGCCTATACGAAGAACTTAATCAACAACTTAAGAAATCTCAAGAAGAAAATCAAATTCATATTGAACATAGCCAACAATTAGAAAATTCCATTCAGAAACTTGAATCTGAAAAGTCGATATTGGACCAAAATAATATGGCATTGGAACAAAATGTTATACAACTTGAAAAAGAACTTGAATCGTTGGCTGATGAATATTCAGAAGCTGATTTGAAATACAAAGAAACTGAAAGCAATTTATCAAAACAAAAAACAAGAATAGCAGAATTGGAAATGGAAATTGATGCAAACAAAAAACAACACACGAATAGCTCAACCACACTTTCACAATTAGCATCTGCAAGTGAAACTTTACGCAAGACCAATAATGATTTAAATAAAAAGTTGGTGGATACAGAAGAAAATGTTTCCAAATTGAATCAAAAAGTTAAATCATTAGAACAAGAACTTGCGCATTACAAAACAATTAATGATGATATTAATACAAGTAAAGAGTTTGCTCAAGAATTGAAAGATAAGATCAAAAATCTTGAGCACGAGAGGGACGGATTAGGAGAAGCCAATAAAGCATTTGTCGAGGAAAAGAAAAAACTTGATGACAAGATTGATTCATTATTACAACAGCTCCAATCATCTGGTCGTGATGGTAATAAAACTGCTGCTCAACTTGCAGAATTAAACAAGAAAATAATTTCGTTGGAAAAAGAAATCTCAATTACCAAAGAACAATCCAAAAAAGATTCGGAAGAAATGGAGAAAGAAATAATAAGGCTTTTGGAAGTTAATAAGAAATTAGAATCAGGAAACGAACAAGAATATAGTCCTAAATTACCGCAGCAGCAACAACAACGACAAAAAGTAAGATCTAGTAGTGATTCTGGAGATTCATATGATTCTGGATTTTCATCATTATCACCACAAGCTAGTAATCCACGCCTTAACAAAAATGTGAAAGCTATGAAACATGAAACTACCATTGCAGAACAACTTGTAATAATAAAAACTTTACAAGATAGAATTGCAGAGTTGGAGAAACAACAATTAGAAGAAATACATAAACCTACCACGCCAGCTGATCTTGATGCAGTTGGTGGATTCCGTCTTGTTAGAACAGATTCAAATTCATCAACTGAATTGATGAAGAATGCTATTAAAAATAATCTCAGTGCCACATCTGCAGCATATATGGATGCTCCACTTACACCACCACCAAATCTTCCACTACCTCCTGTACCTTCCTCGCCATCATCGTCAATATCATCTTTGGCATCCAATTCTGTTTCTTTGCCAATGACACCACCATTAAGTCCACCACCAAAAAGCCCATTACCACCTATACCAGATTCTGAAGTAAATACCACACCAATACAAGATTTAACATCAGAAGTTCAAAAACTTAACAAGAAACTTGGTAAGCTTGAAAATGAAAATTCACAAAGTCAACAACTTATTGAAACGTTAGAAGGAGCTCTAAACAGCAATGAAGGCGAATTAAAAATTGCAAAACAACAATTACAAATTCTTCAAAAAGAAAAGGCCAATCTTCGTCAACAAGTTAAAGCATTGAATGATCGATTGGAAGAGGTTAATGCACAATTTGAACATGCTCAATCGTCAGTGCAAGAAGAAAAGAAAGTCATTGAGTCCATTGAGTCTGTATTGAATCAAGAAAGAAAAGCAAAAGAAGAAGCTGAAAAAGCTAGAAGACAGCTTGAAAATCGTATGGAAGAACTTATACAAAAGAAAAACAAGTTCATGTGCTTCTAATCATATTCATTTATTATATTCTTTATTTTGTAATTTATTTTTATATATATTCATATTTATTGTATTTATTTAAAAATTGCATTATTTAATATTATAGACATATATTTATTAATTTAATTTAATATTTTTCACTTTAAAAATAAAATATTAAAATATTGTATACAAATTCGCAATATTAATTAATATGATTGTTTTTATTTCCTTGTTCCGTTATTCAATAACACACGAGTATAATGGTTTAGGTTTTTTCCCTTCTCTTGATTTGCCGTTTTGGATTTCAAATTAAAATAATATTTGGTTTTGGGGTATAGCGATCAAACATCCAAAAAAGGATTTGTTAATATTAATATGGTGATCATGAATATCCATCTTTTTTTTTTTTCAACATTTTCTTATAGAAAAAGAATTTTTTTTACAAAGGTACTTGAAAAAAAATTTTATATATAAATCAATTTATAATTAAATAAATGATGAAAAATGATATTTGCACGTCAGTCTGAATAATTATTAATCCAATGTTGACTATATAATATACCCAAATTTCTGATAATAATAATAATAATAATAATAAATAATAATAATATTTTATATGATTGTATTTTATTGCTTATTAAACTATTATTTATATTCATTCTATTTTTCTATACAAATATTTATAATATTTATAGGTCTCTATTTTCCAGATATAGATTGAATTAGGTATATTTTTTAAAAAATTTCTTTTTACAAATTAAATTATTTTTTTTCTAAAATTTTCAAATAAAAAAAATTCTATGTATAATAATTTTTTTTTGTAACAATTGTTTTTTGTTTTTCTTCTTCCAAGTAATATTGTTAACTACCAACTCAACCAATTCAACTAATCAACTCTCATTCGTTCATATGGAACAATTGCTCGCAGATAATCTTTTTTCGAAAAACCATAGACAAGCTTTATAATGTTCGTATATTCCTATGCAAACGAAAACATGCCACACAGAATGACTGTGAATTCCAAATCTGTCTAATTTCCCTGGCCATTTCTTTTCAGGGAATCGATTGGCATAGATCCATACACCCGTCAAATAGGCAAATAAACTTGATATAATAGGATTAATGAAATCCCACATATGGTTAAATCCATGAATATATACCAAATGTGCTAATGGAAACACACCAGAGCATCCGAGTGTTATAAACAATATCACACGAAACAATCTAAATCTTTTTGAATCAAACCATGGAAATATCGCACAAATTATTGGAACTAATCCGACCAGCGCTGTGAATGTCATGTAAAAATTACGTTCAAACGGTGAACAGTATAGACCATAATACTCTGTTATTATGATGGAGGCTATTATAAGAAACGATATTCCAATATAATCAAATGTTGCTGCACATTGCATCACTGATGAAATAAAAAATCAATCGATTAAAGATGGTTTTTTTGGAAAATAAAATAAACAAATCAATCGGTAATAATTACCTGGAATATGCGCGCAATGAATAAATGTATGATATAATACTGAACATACTAGACTATAATGTAAATAATATTAATTGTTAATTATTATTAATCTCTCCGATATCTCTCTCTCATTCATATACATTTTATTTATATTTCTTACCATTTAGCAGCAGCAATAAAAAATACTACAAATATCAATTTATCAAATATGGTTGCGTTTTCTAAATGTGTCATAAAAGAATATATTCCAAGGCCTAAAAAAAATACGAATCCTAATAAATGTGTCCAAATATTACAAGTTTCGTTATGAAGCCAAAAAATTGATTGAAGACATTGTTTTTTTGTTGTTAAAAATCGATATCCAGAACGAATATATCTACACAACAACAACATACATCACTTTAATATATATATATATATATACATATATGCATTAATTAATATTTCGCATCTATAAAAACCTACGGATTTTCTTGCCATTCAATTGGAAGTTCATCGAAATATAGTAGACGGCATGATCCTAATTTAGCAGCAGCACTTATAGCATTATAAGTATCAACCACATGTTGGTCAACGCACTTGAGAATACCAGTAGAATCGATATTCTCCATTTCCTTTAATGTTTCTCGAAAAAAAGACTTGGGTTCTGCGACCTTTGAATATTTGTTCTTCTCTTTTCTATTTGGCATTTTGTTCGAGTTGTGTGATAAATTATGGAATGAGTGAGGATATAATGTATGGTGTAAGTTGTATATATACGATGAATAAGAAATAAATTATTTTATTTTATTTTTATTTTTCAACGAAAATGAAGTAAAAATGAAGTAAAAGGAGTGTATTAAGGATTATTATTTTGAAAACTATTATTATTTATAATAATAATAAATAGTAATACTAATAATAATAATTGAAAAAAAACTTTAAGATAGAATTAAAAATAAAATTTATATCTATCTATCTATATATATATTTCATACATATTTTTATTATTACACGCATCTTCACCCCCCAACAAAAATTTTTTTTTTTGTTTAACGTTGCTGTAAAAGTAAATAAGGACCATCTACTTAATAATCATGTGCGAGATTATTGTTTTTATGATTCACCATATAGCAATGGCGATAAAGAGATAATAGTAGCAATGACAGTAAATCGTAATCGATTGGATAATAATAATATTAATTAACACTAATACTAATATTATTTTCCGAAAATTTTTCGGTTAATTACATAATTATCCATTATTGTTGTTGAACAAATTAAAATCAAAACGTGGAAATAATTAATTATAATGATGAATTTTTAATACCTGATTGCAAATCAGACTATTTATGCTTACAATAAAATTAAGTCTGGTTGTTGACTAAAGTTTTTCAACTTTGGGGAAATAATTCAAATAAACCTTATTTATTATTAACTGTAAATTATTTGGCACGGTGAATTTTAATTATGTAAATTAACTTCATATAGGTAATTCAATAATAGTCCTATATACAGTGTGTAACAAAAAATTTTGGAATTTTTTATTCATTCATCCTTCAAAAACTATCATATAAAAACGAATGAAAAATATATCAAAATAAAGCTTAAAATCTAAAGTTTTTATTAATGTAAAAATTAATAATTAATTCTTTCGCCATTATTTTCAATTATCATCTCACATCTTCTTCTCATTGAACTAACAAGATTAATTATAATATTATTCGGAATTCT